GAGTGGGTGAGAGGGATGAGAGCGTATGAGAGTGTGTGAGAGGGAATGAGAGCGTATGAGAGTGGGCGAGAGGGAATGAGAGCGTATAGAAGTGGGTGAGATGGAATGAGAGCGTATGAGAGTGGGTTAGAGGGAATGAGAGTGTATGAGAGTGGGTGAGAGGAATGAAGCGTATGAGAGTGGGTGAGAGGGAATGAGAGGATATGAGAGTGGGTGAGAGGGAATGAGGGCGTATGACTGTGGTTGAGAGGAATGAGAGCGTATGAGAGTGGGTGAGGGGAATGAGAGCGTAAGAGAGTGGGTGAGAGGGAATGAGAGCGTATGAGATTGTTGAGAGTGAGGGAATGAGAGCGTATGAGAGTGGGTGAGAGGGAATGAGAGCGTATGAGAGTGGGTGAGAGGAATGAGAGCGTATGAGAGTGGGTGAGAGGAATGAGAGCGTATGAGAGTGGGTGAGAGGGAATGAGAGCGTATGAGAGTGGGTGAGAGGGAATGAGAGGGTATGAGAGTGTGAGAGGGATGAGAGCGTATGAGAGTGGGTGAGAGGGAATGAGAGCGTATGAGAGTGGGTGAGAGGAATGAGAGCGTATGAGAGTGGGTGAGAGGGAATGAGAGCGTATGAGTGTGGTGAGAGGGAATGAGAGCGTATGAGAGTGGTGAGAGGGAATGAGAGCGTATGAGAGTGGGTGAGAGGGAATGAGAGCGTATGAGAGTGGGTGAGAGGGAATGAGATGTATGAGAGTGGGTGAGAGGGAATGAGAGCGTATGAGAGTGGGTGAGAGGGAATGAGAGCGTATGAGAGTGGGTGAGAGGGAAAGAGAGCGTATGAGAGTGGGTGAGAGGGAATGAGAGCGTATGAGAGTGGGTGAGAGGGAATGAGAGCGTATGATTGGTGTGAGAGAATGAGAGCGTATGAGAGTGGGTGAGAGGGAATGAGAGTGTATGATGTGGGTGAGAGGGAATGAGAGCGTATGAGATGTGTGAGAGGGAATGAGAGCGTATGAGAGTGGGTGGAGGGAATGAGAGCGTATAGAGTGAGTGGGTGAGAGGAATGAGAGCGTATGAGAGTGGGTGAGAGGGAATGAGAGCGTATGAGAGTGGGTGAGAGGGAATGAGAGCGTATGAGGGATGAGAGGGAAATAGCGTGGATGGGAGAGGGGATGAGAGCGTATGAGAGTGGGTGAGAGGGAATGAGAGCGTATGAGAGTGGGTGAGAGGGAATGAGAGCGTATGAGAGTGGTTGAGAGGGAATGAGAGCGTATAGAGTGGGTGAGAGGGAATGAGAGCGTATGAGAGTGGGTGAGAGGGAATGAGAGCGTATGAGAGTGGTGAGAGGGAATGAGAGCGTATGAGAGTGGGTGAGAGGGAATGAGAGCGTATGAGAGTGGGTGAGAGGGAATGAGAGTGTATGAGAGTGGGTTAGAGGCAATGAGAGCGTTTGAGAGTGGGTGAGAGGAATGAGAGCGTATGAGTGTGGGTGAGAGGGAATGAGAGCGTATGAGAGTGGGTGAGAGGGAATGAGAGCGTATGAGAGTGGGTGAGAGGGAATGAGAGCGTATGAGAGTGGGCGAGAGGGAATGAGAGCGTATGAGAGTGGGTGAGAGGGAATGAGAGCGTATGAGAGTGGGTGAGAGGGAATGAGAGCGTATGAGAGTGGGTGAGAGGGAATGAGAGCGTATGAGAGTGGGTGAGAGGGAATGAGAGCGTATGAGAGTGGGTGAGAGGGAATGAGAGCGTATGAGAGTGGGTGAGAGGGATGAGAGCGTATGAGAGTGGGTGAGAGGAATGAGAGCGTATGAGAGTGGGTGAGAGGAATGAGAGCGTATGAGAGTGGGTGAGAGGAATGAGAGCGTATGAGAGTGGTGAGAGGGAATGAGAGCGTATGAGAGTGGGTGAGAGGGAATGAGAGCGTATGAGAGTGGTGAGAGGGAATGAGAGCGTATGAGAGTGGTGAGAGGGAATGAGAGCGTATGTGAGTGGGTGAGAGGAATGAGAGCGTATGAGAGTGGGTGAGAGGGAATGAGAGCGTATGAGAGTGGGTGAGAGGGAATGAGAGCGTATGAGAGTGGGTGAGTGGGAATGAGAGCGTATGAGAGTGGGTGAGAGGGAATGAGAGCGTATGAGTGTGGGTGAGAGGAATGAGAGCGTATGAGAGTGGGTGAGAGGGAATGAGAGCGTAAGAGAGTGGGTGAGAGGGAATGAGAGCGTATGAGAGTGGGTGAGAGGGAATGAGAGCGTATGAGTGTGGGTGAGAGGGAATGAGAGCGTATGAGAGTGGGTGAGAGGGAATTGAGAGCGTATGAGAGTGTGTGAGAGGGAATGAGAGCGTATGAGAGTGGGTGAGAGGGAATGAGAGCGTATGAGAGTGGGTGAGAGGGAATGAGAGCGTATGAGAGTGGGTGAGAGGGAATGAGAGCGTATGAGAGTGGTGAGAGGGAATGAGAGCGTATGAGAGTGGGTGAGAGGGAATGAGAGCGTATGAGAGTGGGTGAGAGGGAATGAGAGCGTATGAGAGTGGTGAGAGGGAATGAGAGCGTATGAGAGTGGGTGAGAGGGAATGAGAGCGTATGAGAGTGGGTGAGAGGGAATGAGAGCGTATGAGAGTGGTGAGAGGAATGAGAGCGTATGAGAGTGGTGAGAGGGAATGAGAGCGTATGAGAGTGGGTGAGAGGGAATGAGAGCGTATGAGAGTGGGTGAGAGGGAATGAGAGCGTATGAGAGTGGGTGAGAGGGAATGAGAGCGTATGAGAGTGGGTGAGAGGGAATGAGAGCGTATGAGAGTGGTGAGAGGGAATGAGAGCGTATGAGAGTGGATGAGAGGGAATGAGAGCGTATGAGAGTGGGTGAGAGGGAATGAGAGCGTATGAGTGTGGTGAGAGGGAATGAGAGCGTATGAGAGTGGGTGAGAGGGAATGAGAGCGTATGAGAGTGGGTGAGAGGGAATGAGAGCGTATGAGAGTGGGTGAGAGGGAATGAGAGCGTATGAGAGTGGGTAGAGGGAATGAGAGCGTATGAGAGTGGGTGAGAGGGAATGAGAGCGTATGATGTGGGTGAGAGGGAATGAGAGCGTATGAGAGTGGGTGAGAGGGAATGAGAGCGTATGAGAGTGGGTGAGAGGGAATGAGAGCGTATGAGATGGGGCGAGAGGGAATGAGAGCGTATGAGAGTGGGTGAGAGGAATGAGAGCGTATGAGAGTGGGTGAGAGGAATGAGATGTATGAGAGTGGGTGAGAGGGAATGAGAGCGTAAAGAGTGGGTGAGAGGGAATGAGAGCGTATGAGAGTGGGTGAGAGGGAATGAAGCGTATGATGTGGTGAGAGGGAATGAGAGCGTATGAGAGTGGGTGAGAGGGAATGAGAGCGTATAGAGTTGGTGAGAGGGAATGAGAGCGTATGAGAGTGGGTGAGAGGAATGAGAGCGTATGAGAGTGGGTGAGAGGGAATGAGAGCGTATGAGAGTGGGTGAGAGGGAATGAAGCGTATGAGAGTGGGTGAGAGGGAATGAGAGTGTATGAGAGTGGTGAGAGGGAATGAGAGCGTATGAGTGTGTGAGAGGGAATGAGAGCGTATGAGAGTGGGTGAGAGGGATGAGAGCGTATGAGAGTGGGTGAGAGGGAATGAGAGCGTAGAGAGTGGGTGAGTGGGAATGAGAGCGTATGAGAGTGGGTGAGAGGGAATGAGAGCGTATGAGAGTGGGTGAGAGGAATGAGAGCGTATGAGAGTGGGTGAGAGGAATGAGAGCGTAAGAGAGTGGGTGAGAGGGAATGAGAGCGTATGAGAGTGGTGAGAGGGAATGAGAGCGTATGAGTGTGGGTGAGAGGGAATGAGAGCGTATGAGAGTGTGTGAGAGGGATGAGAGCGTATGAGAGTGGGTGAGAGGGAATGAGAGCGTATGAGAGTGGGTGAGAGGGAATGAGAGCGTAGAGAGTGGGTGAGAGGGAATGAGAGCGTATGAGAGTGGGTGAGAGGGAATGAGAGCGTATGAGAGTGGGTGAGAGGGAATGAGAGCGTATGAGAGTGGGTGAGAGGGAATGAGAGCGTATGAGAGTGGGTGAGAGGAATGAGAGCGTATGAGAGTGGGTGAGAGGGAATGAGAGCGTATGAGAGTGGTGAGAGGGAATGAGAGCGTATGAGAGTGGGTGAGAGGGAATGAGAGCGTATGAGAGTGGGTGAGAGGGAATGAGAGCGTATGAGAGTGGGTGGAGAGGAATGAGAGCGTATGAGAGTGGTGAGAGGGAATGAGAGCGTATGAGAGTGGTGAGAGGGAATGAGAGCGTATGAGAGTGGGTGAGAGGGAATGAGAGCGTATGAGAGTGGTGAGAGGGAATGAGAGCGTATGAGAGTGGGTGAGAGGGAATGAGAGCGTATGAGAGTGGGTGAGAGGGAATGAGAGCGTATATAGAGTGTGGGTGAGAGGAATGAGAGCGTATGAGAGTGTGGTGAGAGGGAATGAGAGCGTATGAGAGTGGGTGAGAGGGAATGAGAGCGTATGAGAGTGGTGAGAGGGAATGAGAGCGTATGAGAGTGGGTGAGAGGGAATGAGAGCGTATGAGAGTGGGTGAGAGGGAATGAGAGCGTATGAGAGTGGGTGAGAGAATGAGAGCGTATGAGAGTGGGTGAGAGGGAATGAGAGCGTATGAGAGTGGGTGAGAGGGAATGAGAGCGTATGAGAGTGGGTGAGAGGGAATGAGAGCGTATGAGAGTGGTGAGAGGGAATGAGAGCGTATGAGAGTGGGTGAGAGGGAATGAGAGCGTATGAGTGGGTGAGAGGGAATGAGAGCGTAGGAGAGTGGGTGAGAGGGAATGAGAGCGTATGAGAGTGGGTGAGAGGGAATGAGAGCGTATGAGAGTGGGTGAGAGGGAATGAGAGCGTATGAGAGTGGGTGAGAGGGAATGAGAGCGTATGAGAGTGGGTGAGAGGGAATGAGAGCGTATGAGAGTGGGTGAGAGGGAATAAGAGCGTATGAGAGTGGGTGAGAGGGAATGAGAGCGTATGAGAGTGGGTGAGAGGGAATGAGAGCGTATGGAGTGGGTGAGAGGGAATGAGAGCGTATGAGAGTGGGTGAGAGGAATGAGAGCGTATGAGAGTGGGTGAGAGGGAATGAGAGCGTGAGAGTGGGTGAGAGGGAATGAAGCGTATGAGAGTGGGTGAGAGGGAATGGAGCGTATGAGAGTGGGTGAGAGGGAATGAGAGCGTATGAGAGTGGGTGAGAGGGAATGAGAGCGTATAGAGTGGGTGAGAGGGAATGAGCGTATGAGAGTGGGTGAGAGGGAATGAGAGCGTATGAGAGTGGGTGAGAGGGAATGAGAGCGTATGAGAGTGGGTGAGAGGGAATGAGAGCGTATGAGAGTGGGTGAGAGGGAATAAGCGTATGAGAGTGGTTAGAGGGCAATGAGAGCGTTTGAGAGTGGGTGAGAGGGAATGAGAGCGTATGAGTGGGGTGAGAGGGAATGAGAGCGTGTATGAGAGTGGGTGAGAGGGAATGAGAGCGTATGAGAGTGGGTGAGAGGGAATGAGAGCGTATGAGAGTGGGTGAGAGGATGAGAGCGTATGAGAGTGGGTGAGAGGGAATGAGAGCGTATGAGAGTGGGTGAGAGGGAATGAGAGTATGAGAGTGGTGAGAGGGAATGAGAGCGTATGAGAGTGGGTGAGGGAATGAGAGGTATGAGAGTGGGTGAGAGGGAATGAGAGCGTATGAGTGGGTGAGAGGGAATGAGAGCGTATGAGAGTGGGTGAGAGGGAATGAGAGCGTATGAGAGTGGGTAGAGGGAATGAGAGCGTATGAGAGTGGGTGAGAGGGAATGAGAGCGTATGAGAGTGGGTGAGAGGGAATGAGAGCGTATGAGAGTGGGTGAGGGAATGAGAGCGTATGAGAGTGGGTGAGAGGGAATGAGAGCGTATGAGAGTGGTGAGAGGGAATGAGAGCGTATGAGAGTGGGTGAGAGGGAATGAGAGCGTATGAGAGTGGGTGAGAGGGAATGAGAGCGTATGAGAGTGGGTGAGGAATGAGAGCGTATGAGAGTGGGTGAGAGGGAATGAGAGCGTATGGGAGTGGGTGAGGGGAATGAGAGCGTATGAGAGTGGGTGAGAGGGAATGAGAGCGTATGAGAGTGGGTGAGAGGGAATGAGAGCGTATGAGAGTGGGTGAGAGGGAATGAGAGCGTATGAGAGTGGGTGAGAGGGAATGAGAGCGTATGAGAGTGGGTGAGAGGAATGAGAGCGTATGAGAGTGGTGAGAGGGAATGAGAGCGTATGAGAGTGGGTGAGAGGGAATGAGAGCGTATGAGAGTGGGTGAGAGGGAATGAGAGCGTATGAGAGTGGGTGAGAGGGAATGAGAGCGTATGAGAGTGGTGAGAGGGATTGAGAGCGTATGAGAGTGGGTGAGAGGGAATGAAAGCGTATGAGAGTGGGTTAGAGGGAATGAGAGCGTATGAGAGTGGGTGAGAGGGAATGAGAGCGTATGACTGTGGGTGGGAGGGAATGAGAGCGTATGAGAGTGGGTGAGAGGGAATGAGAGCGTATGAGTTGGATGAGAGGGAATGAGAGCGTATGAGAGTGGGTGAGAGGGAATGAGAGCGTATGAGTGTGGGTGAGAGCGAATGAGAGCGTATGAGAGTGGGTGAGAGGGAATGAGAGCGTATGAGTGGGTTGAGAGGGAATGAGAGCGTATGAGAGTGGTGAGAGGGAATGAGAGCGTATGAGAGTGGGTGAGAGGGAATGAGAGCGTATGAGAGTGGTTTGAGGGAATGAGAGTATGAGAGTGGGTGAGAGGGAATGAGAGCGTATGAGAGTGGGTGAGAGGGAATGAGAGCGTATGAGAGTGGGTGAGAGGGAATGAGAGCGTATGAGAGTGGGTGAGAGGGAATGAGAGCGTATGAGAGTGGGTGAGAGGAATGAGAGCGTATGAGTGGGTGAGAGGGAATGAGAGCGTATGAGAGTGGGTGAGAGGAATGAGAGCGTATGAGAGTGGTGTGAGGGAATGAGAGCGTATGAGAGTGGGTGAGAGGGAATGAGAGCGTATGAGAGTGGGTGAGAGGGAATGAGAGCGTATGAGAGTGGGTGAGAGGGAATGAGAGCGTATGAGAGTGGTGAGAGGGAATGAGAGCGTATGAGAGTGGGTGAGAGGGAATGAGAGCGTATGAGAGTGGGTGAGAGGGAATGAGAGCGTATGAGAGTGGGTGAGAGGGAATGAGAGCGTATGAGAGTGGGTGAGAGGGAATGAGAGCGTATGAGAGTGGGTGTGAGGGAATGAGAGGGTATGAGGTGTGGTTGAGAGGGAATGAGGGTATGAGAGTGGGTTAGAGGGAATGAGAGCGTATGAGAGTGGGTGAGAGGGAATGAGAGCGTATGAGAGTGGGTGAGAGGGAATGAGAGCGTATGAGAGTGGGTGAGAGGAATGAGAGCGTATGAGAGTGGGTGAGAGGAATGAGAGCGTATGAGAGTGGTGAGAGGGAATGAGAGCGTATGAGAGTGGGTGAGAGGGAATGAGAGCGTATGAGAGTGGGTGAGAGGAATGAGAGCGTATGAGAGTGGGTGAGAGGGAATGAGAGCGTATGAGAGTGGGTGAGAGGGAATGAGAGCGTATGAGAGTGGGTGAGAGGGAATGAGAGCGTATGAGAGTGGGTGAGAGGGAATGAGAGCGTATGAGAGTGGGTGAGGGGATGAGAGCGTATGAGAGTGGGTGAGAGGGAATGAGAGCGTATGAGAGTGGGTGAGAGGGAATGAGAGCGTATGAGAGTGGGTGAGAGGGAATGAGAGCGTATGAGAGTGGGTGAAGGGAATAAGAGCGTATGAGAGTGGTGGTGAGGGAATGAGAGCGTATGAGAGTGGGTGAGAGGGAATGAGAGCGTATGAGAGTGGGTGAGAGGGAATGAGAGCGTATGAGAGTGGGTGAGAGGGAATGAGAGCGTATGAGAGTGGGTGAGAGGAATGAGAGCGTATGAGAGTGGGTGAGAGGGAATGAGAGCGTATGAGAGTGGGTGAGAGGGAATGAGAGCGTATGAGAGTGGGTGAGAGGGATGAGAGCGTATGAGAGTGTGTGAGAGGGAATGAGAGCGTATGAGAGTGGGTGAGAGGGAATGAAGCGTATGAGAGTGGTGAGAGGGAATGAGAGCGTATGAGAGTGGGTGAGAGGGAATGAGAGCGTATGAGAGTGGGTGAGAGGGAATGAGAGCGTATGAGAGTGTGTGAGAGGGAATGAGAGCGTATGAGAGTGGGTGAGAGGGATGAGAGCGTATGAGAGTGGGTAGAGGGAATGAGAGCGTAGAGAGTGGGTGAGAGGGAATGAGAGCGTATGAGAGTGGGTGAGAGGGAATGAGAGCGTATGAGAGTGGGTGAGAGGAATGAGAGCGTATGAGAGTGGGTGAGAGGGAATGAGAGCGTATGAGAGTGGGTGAGAGGGAATGAGAGGGTATGAGAGTGGGTGAGAGGAATGAGAGCGTATGAGAGTGGGTGAGAGGGAATGAGAGCGTATGAGAGTGGGTGAGAGGGAATGAGAGCGTATGAGAGTGGGTGAGAGGGAATGAGAGCGTATGAGAGTGGTGAGGGGAATGAGAGCGTATGAGAGTGGGTGAGAGGAATGAGAAGCGTATGAGAGTGGGTGAGAGGGAATGAGAGCGTATGAGAGTGGGTGAGAGGAATGAGAGCGTATGAGAGTGGGTGAGAGGGAATGAGAGCGTATGAGAGTGGATGAGAGGGAATGAGAGCGTATGAGAGTGGGTGAGAGGGAATGAGAGCGTATGAGTGGGGTGAGAGGGAATGAGAGCGTATGAGAGTGGGTGAGAGGGAATGAGAGCGTATGAGAGTGGGTGAGAGGGAATGAGAGCGTATGAGAGTGGGTGAGAGGGAATGAAAGCGTATGAGAGTGGGTGAGAGGGAATGAGAGCGTATGAGAGTGGGTGAGAGGGAATGAGAGCGTATGAGTGTGGGTGAGAGGGAATGAGAGCGTATGAGAGTGGTGAGAGGGAATGAGAGCGTATGAGAGTGGTGAGAGGAATGAGAGCGTATGAGAGTGGTTGAGAGGGAATGAGAGCGTATGAGTGGGTGAGAGGGAATGAGAGCGTATGAGAGTGGGTGAGAGGGAATGAGAGCGTATGAGAGTGGGTGAGAGGGAATGAGAGCGTATGAGAGTGGGTGAGAGGGAATGAGAGCGTATGAGAGTGGGTGAGAGGGAATGAGAGCGTATGAGAGTGGTGAGAGGGAATGAGAGCGTATGAGAGTGGGTGAGAGGGAATGAGAGCGATGAGAAGTGGGTGAGAGGGAATGAGAGCGTATGAGAGTGGGTGAGAGGAATGAGAGCGTATGAGAGTGGGTGAGAGGGAATGAGAGCGTAGAGATTGGGTGAGAGGGAATGAGAGCGTATGAGAGTGGGTGAGAGGGAATGAGAGCGTATGAGTGTGGTGAGAGGGAATGAGAGCGTATGAGAGTGGGTGAGAGGGAATGAGAGCGTATGAGAGTGGGTGAGAGGGAGAGAGCGTATGAGAGTGGGTGAGAGGGAATGAGAGCGTATGAGAGTGGTGAGAGGGAATGAGAGCGTATGAGAGTGGGTTGAGGGAATGAGAGCGTATGAGAGTGGGTGAGAGGGAATGAGAGCGTAAGAGAGTGGGTGAGAGGGAATGAGAGCGTATGAGAGTGGGTGAGAGGGATGAGAGCGTATGAGTGTGGGTGGGAGGGAATGAGAGCGTATGAGAGTGGGTGAGAGGGAATGAGAGCGTATGAGAGTGGGTGAGAGGGAATGAGAGCGTATGAGTGGGTGAGAGGGAATGAGAGTGTATGAGTGTGGATGAGAGGGAATGAGAGCGTATGAGTGTGTGAGAGGGAATGAGAGCGTATGAGAGTGGGTGAGAGGGAATGAGAGCGTATGAGAGTGGGTGAGAGGATGAGAGCGTATGAGAGTGGGTGAGAGGGAATGAGAGCGTATGAGAGTGGGTGAGAGGGAATGAGAGCGTATGAGAGTGGGTGAGAGGGAATGAGAGCGTATGAGAGTGGGTGAGAGGGAATGAGAGTGTATGAGAGTGGGTGAGAGGGAATGAGAGCGTATGAGAGTGGGTGAGAGGGAATGAGAGCGTATGAGAGTGGGTGAGAGGGAATGAGAGCGTATGAGAGTGGGTGAGAGGGAATGAGAGTATGAGAGTGGGTGAGAGGGAATGAGAGCGTATGAGAGTGGGTGAGAGGGAATGAGAGCGTATGAGAGTGGGTGAGAGGGAATGAGAGCGTAGAGAGTGGGTGAGAGGGAATGAGAGTGTATGATGTGGGTGAGAGGGAATGAGAGCGTATGAGAGTGGGTGAGAGGGAATGAGAGCGTAAGAGAGTGGGTTGAGAGGAATGAGAGCGTATGAGAGTGGGTGAGAGGGAATGAGAGCGTATGAGAGTGGGTGAGAGGGAATGAGAGCGTATGAGAGTGGGTGAGAGGGAATGAGAGCGTATGAGATGGGTGAGAGGGAATGAGAGCGTATGAGAGTGGGTGAGAGGGAATGAGAGCGTATGAGAGTGGGTGAGAGGGAATGAGAGCGTATGAGAGTGGGTGAGAGGGAATGAGAGCGTATGAGAGTGGTGAGAGGGAATGAGAGGTATGAGAGTGGGTGAGAGGGAATGAGAGTTAAGAGAGTGGGTGAGAGGGAATGAGAGCGTATGAGAGTGGGTGAGAGGAATGAGAGCGTATGAGTGTGGTGGGAGGGAATGAGAGCGTATGAGAGTGGGTGAGAGGGAATGAGAGCGTAAGAGAGTGGATGAGAGGGAATGAGAGGGTATGAGAGTGGGTGAGAGGGAATGAGAGCGTATGATGTGGTTGAGAGGGAATGAGAGCGTATGAGAGTGGGTGAGAGGGATTGAGCGTAGTGTGAGAGTGGGTGAGAGGGAATGAGAGCGTATGAGAGTGGGTGAGAGGGAATGAAGCGTATGAGAGTGGGTGAGAGGGAATGAGAGCGTATGAGAGTGGGTGAGAGGGAATGAGAGCGTATGAGAGTGGGTGAGAGGGAATGAGAGCGTATGAGAGTGGGTGAGAGGGAATGAGAGCGTATGAGAGTGGGTGAGAGGGAATGAGAGCGTATGAGAGTGGGTGAGAGGGAATGAGAGCGTATGAGAGTGGGTGAGAGGGAATGAGAGCGTATGAGAGTGGGTGAGAGGGAATGAGAGCGTATGAGAGTGGTGAGAGGGAATGAGAGCGTATGAGAGTGGGTGAGAGGGAATGAGAGCGTATGAGAGTGGGTGAGAGGGAATGAGAGCGTATGAGAGTGGATGAGAGGGATGAGAGCGTATGAGAGTGGGTGAGAGGGAATGAAGCGTATGAGAGTGGTGAGAGGGAATGAGAGCGTATGAGAGTGGGTGAGAGGGAATGAGAGCGTATGAGAGTGGGTGAGAGGGAATGAGAGCGTATGAGAGTGGGTGAGAGGGAATGAGAGCGTATGAGTGTGGGTGAGAGGGAATGAGAGCGTATGAGAGTGGGTGAGAGGGAATGAGAGCGTATGAGAGTGGGTGAGAGGGAATGAGAGCGTATGAGAGTGGGTGAGAGGGAATGAAAGCGTATGAGAGGGGTTAGAGGGAATGAGAGCGTATGAGAGTGGGTGAGAGGGAATGAGAGCGTATGAGTGTGGGTGAGAGGGAATGAGAGCGTATGAGAGTGGGTGAGAGGGAATGAGAGCGTATGAGAGTGGTGAGAGGAATGAGAGCGTATGAGAGTGGGCGAGAGGGAATGAGAGCGTATGAGAGTGGGTGAGAGGGAATGAGAGCGTATGAGAGTGGGTTAGAGGGAATGAGAGCGTATGAGAGTGGGTGAGAGGGAATGAGAGCGTAAGAGAGTGGTGAGAGGGAATGAGAGATATGAGAGTGGGTGAGAGGGAATGAGAGCGTATGAGAGTGGGTGAGAGGGAATGAGAGCGTATGAGAGTGGGTGAGAGGAATGAGAGCGTATGAGAGTGGGTGAGAGGGATGAGAGCGATGAGAGTGGGTGAGAGGGAATGAGAGCGTATGAGAGTGGGTGAGAGGGAATGAGAGCGTATGAGAGTGGGTGAGAGGGAATGAGAGCGTATGAGAGTGGGTGAGGGGGAATGAGAGCGTATGAGAGTGGGTGAGAGGGAATGAGAGTGTATGAGAGTGGGTGAGAGGGAATGAGAGCGTAAGAGAGTGGGTGAGAGGGACAGAGAGGGTATGAGAGTGGGTGAGAGGGAATGAGAGGGTATGAGAGTGGGTAAGAGGGAATGAGAGTGTAAGAGGTGGGTGAGTGGAATGAGAGGGTATGAGAGTGGGTGAGAGGGAATGAGAGCGTATGAGTGTGGGTGTTGAGGAATGAGACGTAGAGAGGTGGGTGAGAGGTGAATTGAGAGCGTAAGAGAGTGGATGAGAGGGAATGAGAGGGTATTAGAGTGGGTGAGAGCGGAAATGAGAAGGTATGAGTGGGGTGAGAGGGAATGAGAGCGTATGAGAGTGGGTGAGAGGAATGAAAGCGTATGAGAGTGGGTTAGAGGGCAATGAGAGCGTTTGAGAGTGGGTGAGAGGGAATGAGAGCGTATGAGTGTGGGTGAGAGGAATGAGAGCGTATGAGAGTGGGTGAGAGGGAATGAGAGCGTATGAGAGGTGGGTGAGAGGGAATGAGAGCGTATGAGAGTGGGTGAGAGGGAATGAGAGTGTATGAGTGTGGGTGAGAGGGAATGAGAGCGTATGAGGGTGGGTGCGAGGGAATGAGAGCGTATGAGAGTGGGCGAGAGGGAATGAGAGCGTATGCGAGTGGGTGAGAGGGAATGAGAGCGTATGAGAGTGGGTTAGAAGGAATGAGAGTGTAATGAGAGTGGGTGAGAGGAATGAGAGCGTAAGAGAGTGGGTGAGAGGGAATGAGAGGAATTGGAGAGTGGGTGAGAGAGGAATGAGAGCGTATGGACTGTGGGTGGGAGGGAATGAGAGCGTATGAGAGTGGGTGAGAGGGAATGAGAGGGAATGAGAGGGTATGAGAGTGGGTGAGAGGGAATGAGAGTGTTATGAGTGTGGGTGAGAGCGAATGAGAGCGTATGAGAGTGGGTGAGAGGGAATGAGAGCGTATGAGAGTGGGTGAGAGGGAATGAGAGCGTATGAGAGTGGGAGAGGGAATGAGAGCGTATGAGAGTGGGTGAGAGGGAATGAGAGCGTATGAGAGTGGGTGAGGGAATGAGAGTGTATGAGAGTGGGTGAGAGGGAATGAGAGCGTAAGAGAGTGGTGAGAGGGAATGAGAGCGATGAGAGTGGGTGAGAGGGAATGAGAGCGTATGAGTGTGGGTGAGGAGGGAATGAGAGCGTATGAGAGTGGGTGAGAGAGAATGAGAGCGTATGAGGGTGGGTGAGGGGAATGAGAGCGTATGAGAGTGGCGAGAGGGAATGAGAGCGTATGAGAGTGGGTGAGAGGGAATGAGAGCGTATGAGAGTGGGTTAGAAGGAATGAGAGTGTATGAGAGTGGTGAGAGGGAATGAGAGCGTATGAGAGTGGGTGAGAGGGAATGAGAGCGATGTGAGAGTGGGTGAGAGGAATGAGAGCGTATGACTGTAGGTGGGAGGGAATGAGAGCGTATGGAGATTGGCGTTGAGAGGGAATGAGAGCGTAAGAGAGTGGATGAGAGGGAATGAGGGTATGAGAGTGGGTGAAAGGGAATGAGAGTGTATGAGTGTGGGTGAGAGGGAATGAGAGCGTATGAGAGTGGGTGAGAGGAATGAAAGCGTATGAGAGTGGGTTAGAGGCAATGAGAGCGTTGAGAGTGGGTGAGAGGGAATGAGAGCGTATGAGAGTGGGTGAGAGGAATGAGAGCGTATGAGAGTGGGTGAGAGGGAATAAGAGCGTAGAGAATGGGTGAGAGGGAATGAGAGCGTATGAGAGTGGGTGAGAGGGAATGAGAGCGTATGAGATGGGTATGAGAGGAATGAGAGCGTATGGAGTGGGTGAGAGGGAATGAGAGCGTATGAGAGTGGGTGAGAGGGAATGAGAGCGTATGAGAGTAGATGAGAGGGAATGAGAGCGTATGAGAGTGGGTGAGAGGGAATGAAAGCGTATGAGAGTGGTGAGAGGGAATGAGAGCGTATGAGAGTGGGTGAGAGGAATGAGAGCGTAAGAGAGTGGGTGAGAGGGAATGAGAGCGTATGAGAGTGGGTGAGGGAATGAGAGCGTATGATGTGGGTGAGAGGGAATGAGAGCGTATGAGAGTGGGTGAGAGGGAATGAGAGCGTATGAGAGTGGGTGAGAGGGATGAGAGCGTATGAGAGTGGTTAGAGGAATGAGAGCGTTTGAGAGTGGGTGAGAGGGAATGAGAGCGTATGAGTGTGGTGAGAGGGAATGAGAGCGTATGAGAGTGGGTGAGAGGGAATGAGAGGTATGAGAGTGGGTGAGAGGGATGAGAGCGTATGACTGTGGTGGGAGGGAATGAGAGCGTATGAGAGTGGGTGAGAGGGAATGAGAGCGTAAGAGAGTGGGTGAGAGGGATGAGAGCGTATGAGAGTGGGTGAGAGGGAATGAGAGCGTATGAGAGTGGGTGAGAGGGAATGAGAGCGTATGAGAGTGGGTGAGAGGGAATGAGAGCGTATGAGAGGTGGGTGAGAGGGAATGAGAGCGTATGAGAGTGGGTGAGAGGAATGAGAGCGTATGAGAGTGGGTGAGAGGGAATGAGAGTGTATGAGAGTGGGTGAGAGGGAATGAGAGCGTAAGAGAGTGGGGAGAGGGAATGAGAGGGTCTGAGAGTGGGTGAGAGGGAATGAGAGCGTATGAGAGTGGGTAAGAGGGAATGAGAGTGTAAGAGAGGGGTGAGTGGGAATGAGAGGGTATGAGAGTGGGTGAGAGGGAATGAGAGCGTATGAGTGTGGGTGGGAGGGAATGAGAGCGTATGAGAGTGGGTGAGAGGGAATGAGAGCGTAAGAGAGTGGATGAGAGGGAATGAGAGGGTATGAGAGTGGGTGAGAGGGAATGAGAGTGTATGAGTGTGGGTGAGAGGGAATGAGAGCGTATAGAGAGTGGGTGAGAGGAATGAAAGCATATGAGAGTGGGTTAGGTGAAGGCAATGAGAGCGTTTGAGAGTCGGGTGAGAGGGGAAGAGAGCGTATGAGTGTGGGTGAGAGGGAATGAGAGCGTATGAGAGTGGGTGAGAGGAATGAGCGTATCGAGGTGGGTGAGAGTGAATGAGAGGTTGAGAGGGGTGAGAGGGAATGAGAGCGTATGAGAGTGGGTGTAAGGGAATGAGAGTGTTTGAGTGTGGGTGAGAGGGAATGAGAGCGTATGAGGGTGGGTGAGAGGGAATGAGAGCGTATGAGAGTGGGCGAGAGGGAATGAGAGCGTATGAGAGTGGGTGAGAGGGAATGAGAGCGTATGAGAGTGGCGTGAGAGGGAATGAGAGCGTAAGAGAGTGGATGAGAGGGAATGAGAGCGTATGAGAGTGGGTGAGAGGGAATGAGAGCGTATGAGAGTGGGTGAGAGGGAATGAAGAGCGTATGAGAGTGGGTGAGAGGTTATGAAAGCGTATGAGAGTGGGTTAGAGGCAATGAGAGCGTTTGAGAGTGGGTGAGAGGGAATGAGAGCGTATGAGTGTGGGTGAGAGGGAATGAGAGCGTATGAGAGTGGGTGAGAGGGAATGAGAGCGTATGAGAGTGGGTGAGAGGGAATGAGAGCGTATGAGAGTGGGCAAGAGGAATGAGAGCGTATGAGAGGGGTGAGAGGGAATAAGAGCGTATGAGAGTGGGTTAGAGGAATGAGAGTGTATGAGAGTGGGTGAGAGGGAATGAGAGCGTAAGAGAGTGGGTGAGAGGGGAATGAGAGGATATGAGAGTGGGTGAGAGGGAATGAGGGCGTATGACTGTTGGTGGGAGGGAATGAGAGCGTATGAGAGTGGGTGAGAGGGAATGAGAGCGTAAGAGAGTGGGTCAGAGGGAATGAGAGCGTATGAGAGTGGGTGAGAGGGAATGAGAGCGTATGAGAGTGGGTGAGAGGGAATGAGAGCATATGAGAGTGGGTGAGAGGGAATGAGAGTGTATGAGAGTGGGTGAGAGGGAATGAGAAGCGTATGAGAGTGGGTGAGAGGGAATGAGAGTGTATGCGAGTGGGTGAGAGGGAATGAGAAGCGTAAGAGAGTGGGTGAGAGGGAAGAGGTATGAGAGTGGGTGAGAGGGAATGACGAGGGTATGAGAGTGGGTAGAGGGACTGAATGAGAGGGTATGAGAGTGGGTAAGAGGGAATGAGAGTGTAAGAGAGTGGGTGAGTGGGAATGAGAGGGTATGAGAGTGGGTGAGAGGGAATGAGAGCGTATGAGTGTGGGTGGGAGGGAATGAGAGCGTATGAGAGTGGGTGAGAGGGAATGAGAGCGTAAGAGATTGGATGAGAGGGAATGAGAGGGTATGAGAGTGGGTGAGATGGGAATGAGAGTGTATGAGTGTGGGTGAGACGGGAATGAGAGCGTATGAGAGTGTGTGAGAGGGATTGAGAGCGTATGAGAGTGGGTGAGAGGGAATGAGAGCGTATGAGAGTGGGTGAGAGAATGAAGCGTAGGAGAGTGGGTGAGATGGAATGAGAGCGTATGAGAGTGGGTGAGAGGGAATGAGAGCGTATGAGAGTGGGTGAGAGGGAATGAGAGCGTATGAGAGTGGGTGAGAGGAATGAGAGCGTATGAGAGTGGGTGAGAGGGAATGAGAGCGTATGAGAGTGGGTGAGAGGGAATAAGAGCGTATAGAGAGTGGGTGAGAGGGGAAGAGAGCGTATGAGAGTGGGTGAGGAGGGAATGACGAGGGGCATGAGAGTGGGTGAGAGGAAGTGAGAGCGTATGAGAGTGGGTGAGAGGGAATGAGAGCGTATTAGAGTGGGTGAGAGGGAATGAGAGCGTATGAGAGTGGGTGAGAGGGAATGAGAGCGTATGAGAGTAGGTGTTCCAGCTATGGGAATGAGGGATGAGAGCTATGAGTGTGGTGAGAAGGAATGAGAGCGTATGAGAGTGGGTGAGAGGGAATGAGAGCGTATAAGAGTGGGTGAGAGGGAATGAGAGCGTATGAGAGTGGGTGAGAGGGAATGAAAGCGTATGAGAGTGGGTTAGAGGCAATGAGAGCGTTGGAGTGGGTGAGAGGAATGAGAGCGTAAGAGAGTGGATGAGAGGAATGAGAGGGATATGAGAGTGGGTGAGAGGGAATGAGAGTGTATGAGTGTGGGTGAGAGGGAATGAGAGCGTATGAGAGTGTGTGAGAGGGATTGAGAGCGTATGAGAGTGGGTGAGAGGGAATGAGAGCGTATGAGAGTGGGTGAGAGGGAATGAGAGCGTATGAGAGTGGTGAGAGGGAATGAGAGCGTATGAGAGTGGGTGAGAGGGAATGAGAGCGTATGAGAGTGGTGAGAGGGAATGAGAGCGTATGAGAGTGGGTGAGAGGGAATGAGAGGGTATGAGAGTGGGTGAGAGGGAATGAGAGCGTATGAGAGTGGGTGAGAGGGAATGAGAGCGTATGAGAGTGTGTGAGAGGGATTGAGAGCGTATGAGAGTGGGTGAGAGGGAATGAGAGCGTATGAGAGTGGGTGAGAGGGAATGAGAGCGTATGAGAGTGGGTGAGATGGAATGAGAGCGTATGAGAGTGGGTGAGAGGGAATGAGAGCGTATGAGAGTGGGTGAGAGGGAATGAGAGCGTATGAGAGTGGGTGAGAGGAATGAGAGCGTATGAGAGTGGTGAGAGGGAATGAGAGCGTATGAGAGTGGGTGAGAGGGAATGAGAGCGTATGAGAGGGGTGAGAGGGAATAAAGCGTCGAGAGTGGGTGAGAGGGAATGAGAGCGTATGGAGAGGTGGTGAGAGGGAATGAGAGGGCATGAGAGGTGGGTGAGAGGAAGTGAGAGCGTATGAGAGTTGGTGAGAGGGAATGAGAGCGTATGAGAGTGGGTGAGAGGGAATGAGAGCGTATGAGAGTGGGTGAGAGGGAATGAGAGCGTATGAGAGTAGGTGAGAGGGAATGAGAGCGTATGAGTGTGGGTGAGAGGGAATGAGAGCGTATGAGAGTGGGTGAGAGGGAATGAGAGCGTATAAGAGTGGGTGAGAGGGAATGAGAAGCGTATGAGAGTGGGTGAGAGGGAATGAAAGCGTATGAGAGTGGGTTAGAGGCAATGAGAGCGTTTGAGAGTGGGTGAGAGGGAATGAGAGCGTATGAGTGTGGGTGAGAGGGAATGAGAGCGTATGAGAGTGGTGAGAGGTGAGAGGAATGAGAGCGTATGAGAGTGGGTGAGAGGGAATGAGAGTCTATGAGTGTGGGTGAGAGGGAATGAGAGCGTATGAGGTGGGTGAGAGGGAATGAGAGCGTATGAGAGTGGCGAGAGGGAATGAGAGCGTATGAGAGTGGGTGAGAGGGAATGAGAGCGTATGAGAGTGGGTTAGAGGAATGAGAGTGTATGAGAGTGGGTGAGAGGGAATGAGAGCGTAAGAGAGTGGGTGAGAGGGAATGAGAGCGTATGAGAGTGGGTGAGAGGGAATGAGAGCGTATGACTGTGGGTGGGAGGGAATGAGAGCGTATGAGTGGGTGAGAGGAATGAGAGCGTAAGAGAGTGTGGATGAGAGGGAATGAGAGGGTATGAGAGTGGGTGAGAGGGAATGAGAGTGTATGAGTGTGGGTGAGAGGGATGAGAGCGTATGAGAGTGGGTGAGAGGGAATGAGAGCGTATGAGAGTGGGTGAGAGGGAATGAGAGCGTATGAGAGTGGGTGAGAGGAATGAGAGCGTATGAGAGTGGGTGGAGGTGAATAAGAGCGTATGAGAGTGGGTGAGAGGGAATGAGAGTGTATGAGAGTGGGTTAGAGGGAATGAGAGCGTAAGAGAGTGGTGTGAGAGGGAATGACAGCGTATGAGAGTGGGTGAGAGGGAATGAGAGCGTATGAGTGTGGGTGGGAGGGAATGAGAGCGTATGAGAGTGGATGAGAGGGAATGAGAGGGTATGAGAGTGGGTGAGAGGGAATGAGAGTGTATGAGTGTGGGTGAGAGGGAATGAGAGCGTATGAGAGTGGGTGAGAGGGATTGAGAGCGTATGAGAGTGGGTGAGAGGGATTGAGAGCGTATTAGAGTGGGTGAGAGGGAATGAGAGCGTAGGAGAGTGGGTGAGAGGGAATGAGAGCGTATGAGAGTGGGTGAGAGGGAATGAGAGCGTATGAGAAGAGGGTGAGAGTGAATGAGAGCGTATGAGAGTGGGTGAGAGGGAATGAGAGCGTATGAGTGTTGGTGGAAGGGAATGAGAGCGTATGAGAGTGGGTGAGAGTGAATGAGAGCGTAAGAGAGTGGATGAGAGGGAATGAGAGGGTATGAGAGTGGGTGAGAAGGAATGTGAGTGTATGAGAGTGGGTGAGAGGGAATGAGAGCGTATGAGAGTGGGTGAGAGGGAATGAGAGCGTATGAGAGTGGGTGAGAGGGAATAAGAGCGTATGAGAGTGGGTGAGAGGGAATGAGAGCGTATCAGAGTGGGTGAGAGGGAATGAGAGCGTATGAGAGTGGGTGAGAGGGAATGAGAGCGTATGAGAGTGGGTTGAGGGAATGAGAGTGTATGAGAGTGGGTGAGAGGGAATGAGAGCGTAAGAGAGTGGGTGAGAGGGAATGAGAGCGTATGAGAGTAGGTGAGAGGGAATGAGAGCGTATGAGTGTGGGTGAGAGGGAATGAGAGCGTATGAGAGTGGGTGAGAGGGAATGAGAGCGTATAAGAGTGGGTGAGAGGGAATGAGAGCGTATGAGAGTGGGTGAGAGGGAATGAAAGCGTATGAGAGTGGGTTAGAGGCAATGAGAGCGTTTGAGAGTGGGTGAGAGGGAATGAGAGCGTATGAGTGTGGGTGAGAGGGAATTTCGAGCGTATGAGAGTGGGTGAGAGGGAATGAGAGCGTATGAGAGTGGGTGAGAGGGAATGAGAGCGTATGAGAGTGGGTGAGAGGGAATGAGAGTGTATGAGTGTGGGTGAGAGGGAATGAGAGCGGATGAGGGTGGGTGAGAGGGAATGAGAGCGTATGAGAGTGGGCGAGAGGGATTGAGAGCGTATGAGAGTGGGTGAAAGGGAATGAGAGCGTATGAGAGTGGGTTAGAAGGAATGAGAGTGTATGAGAGTGGGTGAGAGGGAATGAGAGCGTAAGAGAGTGGGTGAGAGGGAATGAGAGGATATGAGAGTGGGTGAGAGGGAATGAGAGCGTATGACTGTGGGTGGGAGGGAATGAGAGCGTATGAGAGTGGGTGAGAGGGAATGAGAGCGTAAGAGAGTGGATGAGAGGGAATGAGAGGGTATGAGAGTGGGTGAGAGGGAATGAGAGTGTATGAGTGTGGGTGAGAGGGAATGAGAGCGTATGAGAGTGGGTGATAGGGAATGAGAGCGTATGAGAGTGGTGAGAGGGAATGAGAGCGTATGAGAGTGGTGTGAGAGGGAATGAGAGCGTAGAGAGTGGGTGAGAGGGAATGAGAGTGTATGAGAGTGGGTTAGAGGGAATGAGAGCGTAAGAGAGTGGGTGAGAGGGAATGACAGCGTATGAGAGTGGGTGAGAGGGAATGAGAGCGTATGAGTGTGGGTGGGAGGGAATGAGAGCGTATGAGAGTGGATGAGAGGGAATGAGAGCGTATGAGAGTGGGTGAGAGGGATGAGAGCGTATGAGAGTGGGTGAGAGGGAATGAGAGCGTATGAGAGTGGGTGAGAGGGAATGAGAGCGTATGAGAAGAGGGTGAGAGTGAATGAGAGCGTATGAGAGTGGGTGAGAGGGAATGAGAGCGTATGAGAGTGAGTGAGAGCTAATGAGAGCGTAAGAGAGTGGATGAGAGGGAATGAGAGGGTATGAGAGTGGGTGAGAAGGAATGTGAGTGTATGAGAGTGGGTGAGAGGGAATGAGAGCGTATGAGAGTGGGTGAGAGGGAATGAGAGCGTATGAGAGTGGGTGAGAGGGAATGAGAGCGTATGAGAGTGGGTGAGAGGGAATGAGAGCGTATAAGAGTGGGAGAGAGGGAATGAGAGCGTATGAGAGTGGGTGAGAGGGAATGAGAGCGTATGAGAGTGGGTTTGAGGGAATGAGAGTGTATGAGAGTGGGTGAGAGGGAATGAGAGCGTAAGAGAGTGGGTGAGAGGGAATGAGAGGGTATGAGAGTGGGTGAGAGGGAATGAGAGCGTAAGAGAGTGGGTGAGTGGGAATGAGAGGGTATGAGAGTGGGTGAGAGGGAATGATATCGTATGAGTGTGGGTGGGAGGGAATGAGAGCGTATGAGAGTGGGTGAGAGGGAATGAGAGCGTAAGAGAGTGTATGAGAGGGAATGAGAGGATATGAGAGTGGGTGAGAGGGAATGAGAGTGTATGAGGGTGGGTGAGAGGGAATGAGAGCGTATGAGAGTGTGTGAGATGGAATGAGAGCGTATGAGAGTGGGTGAGAGGGAATGAGAGCGTATGAGAGTGGGTGAGAGGGAATGAGAGCGTATGAGAGTGGGTGAGAGGGAATGAGAGCGTATGAGAGTGGGTGAGAGGGAATGAGAGCGTATGAGAGTGGGTGAGAGGGAAATAAGAGCGTATGAGAGTGGGTGAGAGGAATGAGAGCGTATGAGAGTGGGTGAGAGGGAATGAGAGGGCATGAGAGTGGGTGAGAGGAATTGAGAGCGTATGAGAGTGGGTGAGAGGGAATGAGAGCGTATGAGAGTGGGTGAGAGGGAATGAGAGCGTATGGGAGTGGGTGAGAGGGAATGAGAGCGTATGAGAGTGGGTGAGAGGGAATGAGAGCGTATGAGTGTGGGTGAGAGGGAATGAGAGCGTAAGAGAGTGGATGAGAG